GTCAGAGTCTGTGCCAGTCCTGCCTCCCACAGTCAGGAGGAGCTGAGCAGCAGCGGGGGTGTGGGGATTGAATTAGACTCTCCTGTGGTGCAGCAGAAGCTGTAACGCTGCTGAACAGTGAAGGAGCTCTGTTTGCTGCTGTCTTGAATAGAAAGGGGAGTCGGAAGGCTCCATCTCAAGAGCCTGGTGTGCTGCAGGCTTGAGGAACGTGAATACAATTGACCCTGAAGCTCTGTACCCAGAGCTCTGAGAGCCTTTCAGTGTGTGAACACACTGCTCCATTGTGGTGCTGCAGAGACATGGGGGCAGGAGGGGGCTCGGCCTGTGTGCCCCCGCAGGGCTGCCCTGCTCTGTGCCTTGTGCTGGAAGGGAACAGCATCACTTGGATGTCATCATCATTTGGTTTCCCAGACCTTGAAAATGGCTTTTTTCCCCTAAAAAACCTGTTGCACAGTCTAAACCCTGCTGTATGGTGAGAGCGGGGCTCGTGGCTCTTGTCGGTGTGTTAGGAAGGCAGCAGAGCCTCATCCCCTGCTCTGGCCATGTCTGTGTTGCAGGCGAAGCAGAAGGTTGATGCATATCATCTGCAGCTCCAGAACTTGCTCTATGAGGTGATGCACCTGCAGAAGGAGATCACCAAGTGCCTGGAGTTCAAGTGAGTTTGGCCAGGGAGGAGGGGGAGCCGTGGGGTGTCTGAGGTGGGTGGAGGCCTCCAGTGTTTGGGATCTCTTCCCATGTTGCCTCATCCTGTTGTGGGAGGAGAGTGGGTGCTCCGGATGCCACCATGCAGCAAAGATGGAGTATCTCCAGTATTGTCCAGGCTGGACAAGAGAAGGCTCCTGAAGGGGAGACCTGAGAGCAGCTCCAGTGCCTAAAGGGGCTTCAGGAAACCTGGAGAGGGGCTTTGGACAAGGGCCGGAAGGGGACAGGCCAAGGGGAATGGCTTTAACCTGCCAGGGGGGAGATTGAGATGAGCTCTGAGGCAGAAGCAGGGGTTGGAACTGGAGGAGCTTTAAGCTCCCTTCCAACACAAACCAGGCTGGAATTCTGTGTTCCCAGAGTAAAGCTGGTGCACAGGGTGTTGGCATTGACCGCTGCCCTTTGAGATGTGGTTGAGTTGGGCTGTGCTGCAGCATTTCCCACCATTCCCTGACCTGGTCCATCTGCTCTTGCAGGTCAAAGCATGAGGAGATCGAGCTGGTGAGCCTGGAGGAGTTCTACCAAGAGGCCCCTCCTGAAATCAGCCGTCCTGCCATCACCCTCTCCGAGCCCCACCAGCAGACGCTGGCCCGCCTGGACTGGGAGCTGGAGCAGCGCAAGAGGTGGGGCAGTGGTGTCTGGAGCTGGTGCTTCACCCAGGTGTGAAGCCTCTAGGTGAAGCAGATGTGGGCGATGGAGGTGTTAAGGCCCTCTTGACACAGTGCAGAACAAGGAGCAGGTTCACCCCACACCGAGGGCTCAGTCTGTGGGGAGCTGGGCTTGGTGGGGTCCTTGTCTCCCAGATGAGGGAGTTTCTTTCATGTGCCTGATGAAGGAGAATCCCAGGATCCTGGGGAGCAGAGCAACCTCCAAACCAGTGTGAGGGAAGCCCTGAGCCAGTGCACCTTGTGCTCTGGGTGACAGCAGTGAAGGGGTCCTGGCTCTCCCCATGAGCCCACATGTTCTCTCACCAAGCAGTGAACATCAGCAGCACCAGCTCTTGAGCACCAAGGGGTGAAAATTGATTTGATATCATGAATTTTGATCCCATAGAAAGACAGGCCAAGAACACTGGGGCTGTTAAGCCTGGAGGAGAGAAGCTGCGTTGGAGACCTCAGAGCAGCTTCCAGTGTCTGAAGGGGGCTACAGGGATGCTGGAGAGGGACCTTCATCAGGGACTGGAGTGACAGGAAAAGGGGGGGTGGGGCCAAACTTAACTAGGGGAATTTTAGATTGGAGATAAGGCAGAAGTTCTTCTCTGTGAGGGTGCCCGGAGAAGCTGTGGCGGCCCCATCCCTGGCAGTGTTCAAGGGCAGGTTGGACACAGGGGCTTGGAGCAACCTGCTCTAGTGGAAGGTGTCCCTGCCCGTGACAGGGGTTGGGACTGGAGGAGCTTTAAGGTCCTTCCCAACCCAAACCGGGCTGGGATTTGTGATATCTTGATGTTTCCCCAGTGTCTGCTTGGAGGCTCTTGCAGCAGGGACTGGGGATGCCACCTGCTGTAGAGGTGATAGTGAAGGGTGGGTGGTTACATGCTTCCATTCGGACCCCGGTTCCAGCAGAGGTGCCATTCAGGGCAGAGCGATCCCTGCTTTGTCCGCAGGAGCTAAATTAAGGCAGCCTGGCTCTGGCACTGCCCGGTGCTGCTGCTGGTCCTGCCTGTGCTCCTGGCGCCTGCCACAGCGGGGAGCTGCCTGCACAGAGCTGGTCTTGGCTGAGCTGTGGGAGCGCCTGGTGCGGGCAGCCGCTGCCTCGATGCCCGAGGAAGGGATTTGGGTTGGAAGGAGCCTGTTGGGGCACGTGTTGACCCAACACAACGAGAGTTTTCCTTGGAAACAGAAGCATTTCAGTATTGCAGCATCAGGTCTGTTGAGCAGACAGAGGTCCTCCACACTGTGGGTGTTCTCATCCAGTGGAGAGCTGAGAGAGGGAGCATGAGCTCCCCACACTGCTTGTCCTGGGCAGCACATTCCATATGTAGCTTTCCCTGCTCCTGCCAGGCAAGGGTTTGTTAGCAGCAGCAATAAGGAGATTTAGCACGTTCTCCCTGAACAGGGGGGTGTCCAGGGCTTGCAGGGCCACGGGGAATGTGAGTTTTCCTGGGCTTTCACCACCTGCTGAAGCACTTGCTGTGTCTGAACCTCAGCTCTCAGGAGTTAACTAGAAGTTGTCAATGTGCAGTGACTCTGAAGGTATGAAGTGGAGGAGCTTCTGCAGGAGCTTGGTGGGGTCAGCAGGGCTCCAACAGCCTGGGAGAGGATCTGCTCAGGATGATCCAGTTTCTGTCCCTTCTCAGAGCACAGCTTGAGGCTGAGCTTCCGCTTTCCCTGGTTGTTTCCCAGCTCTGGTCGGTTCCTTTCTGCCTCCGCTTGCCCTTGGTCTTAGAGCTCTTTGTCACCGTGTCTGAGCTCTCCTGGTGCATGCAGTGACTTGTCAGGTCGGGAGAGCTGGGGCAGGCTCTGCAGCTGTGGCCTGTGGTGATAACCAAATTCCTACCCCCAGACTGGCAGAGAAGTACAAGGAATGCCTGACCAGCAAGGAGAAGATCCTGAAGGAGATCGAGGTGAAGAAGGAATATCTGAGCAGCCTCCAGCCTCGACTCAACAGC